ACATCTACATTTAATTTGAATTCAATTCCCACGATTAATATGTTTACAAGTTATTCACATATTATAGATCATCATTTATGCAGTAGAATGTCGTTTATCCGAATCAATTGGTACCGGACATCTTTCGGATACGCGATTGTTCGGATAACCGAACACCGAATGCGATCCATGCAGTATATGAAACTGGACACTATACGAATATTGAAAATCATCACATGTGGGAAACGTACATGAAGAAAAAGCAAAATGTCGCAATTTTACCTTTATTGTATTATAATCACTTATTTTTTGCTATGCCATTGTACATCTTCGTTTTTTCGTTGCAAGGTCTCTGATTCTCTGGAGCAGCAGTTGTTGAGTAGGACAGCACTCTGATTGTTGTTTGTACCACTCCATAACTGTCTCTAACACAGAAATGAGTTAGCATTTGATGGACCCTTGCTATTTTCGTTGTTGCTATTGTCCTCGTCTTCATCCGTTTCATCGTCGAACAAGGTCGGATTCTTCTTGCACGGAGGTCACAATCTCGTCATCATTTAGCATTTAAAATCCACATTCTGCATTGCATGCCATCCAGGTATTGTTTTAAAAACTTATATTTAATTTAATTTTTAACAAAAAAACTAAAACATTCGTTAAAGTGTTATTGATAGTTCACACATAACCTACAGTAAAAATTTTATTTATGAGAAAAAAGTAGTTTCTCAGAAAAAGGTACATAAACTTACGCAGTTTAACATGGGCTCCTATGGACGTGCCCCTTAAATTTAGTATACTTCATAAACGTGTCACCGGAGAGCTTTGTTTAGATTAATTGTTTTCAGAAATTATCATTAAATTTTATAGCCATTAAATTCACATAATTCAGTCTGCCTTATATTACACATGTATTATCTTTTGTGGCAACAACCATAACGGATTGAAAATGATCACGTGATTAGCTGCTATAAATTGAGTTTTGTCGTAGCGAGCTGCAGAGTATTTTGTTTTACTCTTCCAATAAAGTTTTGTTTTGTTAAGCTTTTTTCGAATTTTTTTTTTCACTTGTACAACCAAGTCAGTCTACTTAACTAAAGACATCCAGTTTCAGTGGTGTTCCGTGCGTGACTATTTTCAGTCAGTGATGTTGGCGTTTGTAATCAGATTAGTAAATTGTTGACACTACCTACTGGCTCTTGATCTAATCAGAATTTAGTAATAATTCGAATTTAATTTTAATTTGAAATAATAGAGAAAAAATCTATAAAAATTTATTGATTATTAAATATTTATCTATTACATATCTTACAATTTTTTAAAGGAAGTTCTTTTTCCAAAGAAATTCTCGGTTATATGTAGACTTCTGTGAAATAGAATGCCAAAATATTTCAATCAATTTTTCTCAGAGTGTATTTTTATCCATAAAAATACAGCAGGTCAAAAAATTATCTTCTTTGATAATATCCCCAGGGACACAAAATGTATAGAACTAGAACAGAAAAGAGTTTTGAAGAAGCGACGTGCACAATTTTAATAAATATTCCACGAAATGAATTTTGTAAAACCAACCACATATTAGCCTATATAAAAACTGATTTCTGAAAAACATCTTTTTTACCTACCATTTTCTTCAATTATTCCAAAAGCGGTTTTTACGAAAGTGTGAGCAAATCTTCTGCTTTCTTCTGCCAACGATTCCATTTTGAGATTTTTTGCCCCCAAGTGGATGAAAGAAAGACAGGAAGACTTCAAGTTTCCTTTGAAAGTAAATATTTAATATTTTTTTGCAAAGAAACTCTTGATTTGAAAAATCGATGGCAAAAGAGAGAAAAGAATGAGCTGCACATACTTGAAACTCTGCAAAACACCTGAGACTGGAAATAATTAACTGCTTAACTGAGAAAATCCGATTGTTTTTAGAGGAAAAAAAAGGAGTTAAGCCCATGACTCTGAAAGGATTTGATGTTGATAACTTAGTTTTTTTCAGATTAAATGGTCTAGTGTTGATTTTTATTTTCTGTTCTTACACTCTATAAAATAATAAACAGAAGTGACAACTTAAGTTGTAAATTTCTATGTCGTTGAATAATCAACATAATGTGTTGAAACATCAAAGGAGAGATAGAGAGAAAATAAATTAGTCTAATCAATTCTATTGAATGATATACAATCTGATAAGAATACTATTTTATTTTTGTACATTTCCAAACTTCGGTATGAAACCATGTTTTGAAATCCTTTTTCAATTCCTACTGTTGGTTCACACTCACACACTATACATATCTTGTTTAAATTTTCAATCTTTAATAAAATACTTTTTATTCATCCACTGAAGTTCAAATACATTTTTTTAAACTTGTAGCGGATTGCACTTGATGTTTTTCAAATATTAATTCATTAATTAAATTTAATTAATGAATAAATAGTGACATACAAAAATAATAGTCCAACACCATATATGAAAAGGAAAAGCGCTTGCTGTGTCCCTGTAGCGCAATGGATAGCGCGTTGGACTTCTAATCCAGCGGTCGTGGGTTCGAATTCCACCTGGGATGGCCAAATTTTTGCGAAAGTGGTTTACTTTTACTATACTATTTTATTGCAATAATTAAATTTAATTCATGAATAAATAGTAACAAACAAAAATAACTGTCCAACACCCTATATAGAAAGGAAAATGGAAAATTGCCAGGAAAATCGCTTTCTATTTAACCACTTAATGTTGTGATTCGGTCGTATGTATATACATATTTATATTAATTGTAATTATTTAATAAAAGTAACTAAAATAAAATTTTTCTTTGATGACCTAAGTAGGAATTGACTTAATTTTTTTTTATTTATATTACTTGTTTCAATTTTTTTATCCTTTTTAGTTGTTATATTCGTCTTAAGGTATCCGACTACGTGGGAGGGAAAACCGTGATTTTAAAGAACAATGGAATTCATGATATTTAGTGTCACTTTTAGACTACATGCATAAAATTTTTTAATGGACATTTTGACAAAAATAATTTAAATACAATACCTGGCAAAATAACTTAGAATATTTTTTTCAAAATGTTTTTGTGAAAATGCTTATTAAAAAATTTTTGCCAAATGTAGCTCAGACCTCTTTACAGAGGCTCAACTATAAATTTGAAAAATTCACATTATTTTCAGAGTTACAACCCAATGAAATATAATTATCGGCGTTTTTTTCTTAAAATTTTCCCCTCTGTTATCGTAAAAGATGGATAAACCCACTTCTAAGTTATATATTTCAAAAATTCTAGTTGAGCCTCTGTACAGGGGTCTGAGCTATAGGCAGGCAAAATATTATTATAATAGAAGCATTTTTTACAAAAGGAGAACATTTTGAAAATAAATTATTCTAAGTTAATTTTTTGCCAAAATATTGTATTTAAATAAATTTTTTGTCAAAAATGTCAAAAAGAATTTTGTACATGTATTCTAATCTAAGTGACACTAAATATCATGAAAATTATCCATTTATGCGCTTGTAAAAATCACGGTTCCGAACGTAGTCGGATACCTTAAGATGTAGACCATATTTGATAATACCCGAATTCATTCAAGTTTTTTTCTGTTTACTGTTGATCGTGTGGCAATAAAAAATATTTTTATTCAGAATTTTGTTGAATTCATTAGTTGAAATTTTGGAGGTTCTGTGTTTTAGTGAAAAACTAGCTAAAATTATTTATCTGTGAGTGTGTGTGTGTATTTTATTTTTGTGAACTCTAATATTTTGTAAAATTCGTCTGTGCTTTTTAAATTGTGTGTTGAATGCCCATTTATAAAAATATGCATTAAAGACACTACGGTTCGTTTCCAGTTCAAGTAATTTGTGTATATTATCAATTTTGCGCAATTTCAGATTTATGCGTCAGGCAGTTATGCTTCGTCCTATGATCTCGTATTCAATTTCATGACTAAGATTATCATAATCCTGATTTAAATAATATATAAGAAACTTCAGGTATTTATTAAATACTTTTTTCACTATAAGAAATGCATAATGACTTTTATTTGGCATCATTTTTCTTACGAATTTCTAATTTTGATTTCAATTTAATACTTCAATTTGTAGTAGGATTAGGTTAATTTTATAGAAGCTTTAACGTATGTTTGGAATTTAAATAAACAATAATTGCAGTATATACTCGTAATATTTATTTTATATTATTTTATTACTTTTGTTTTTTATTCTTTTTATATTTCGTTGCAAAAAAGGAGAGAAAAACATTTAGATAGTTTAAATAAATACATAGCTATGTATTTTGTTTATTATATAATGTTTATATCGAAACATTTTATAATAAAACACTTGAAAATGGCCATTTGCTTATAAATAGCAATGTATAATTTAAGGTATTTTTTATGAATGAAAAATATAAGGGGTAATAGCTTTTGTTGCTGCATATCCTTCCCCAAAACCTGAAAATAAATAAATAAAAGGAAAAATGTTATTCGCTTCCAAACAATGTTCAATATTTAAACAACTGTGACCTATAAGTTTTATAAAATATCAGACATTTATTATATAAATGAACTTCCTTTAAGTTTATTTTTATCATGGTAATTTTTTTTTCTTTCATTTCGAATTATTTTTCGTGGGACATGTGTTTATAATCATTGCCTTCAACTCACACGAATAATTGATTTGCTGATGCAGTTCGTTGATTCATAACTCTAAGCTCTTAAGTAAAGTATTGTAATTTCTCATACTACTTAAGCCATGTTTTATTTCCTCATCTCTCCATAAATGAATAATTCCCTCAAAAACTATAATTCTTGTGATCACATTGGAATGTTTTTCTTTTTTTTGCTTTTACTGTTGCTTTCAAAATGCTTCGGTGAAGGAAGGTTTGTAATGGAATGCATTGAGCAAGAAGTCTGCAATACTCCCAGTAAGCATAGACTTAAGTCTCTCTTAGCAGATCTTATTAAATATATTTAATTCTATCATTTTTAGGCCAATGAATTCACTAATCAAAATTCACTTTACTTGGTGCCAGAACAACATAGATTATATTTTTCCGACCTTTAAAATGTTGCGTTTGCTCCTATTTTTATTTCACTTGTACTAATTGCAAAACCAATAACCAAAATAAGATTTCTAAGCTCCAAACCCAATTTTTAGACCTGTTTTTCATATTTACCCTTTTGAAATCTCAAAGAAAACTCAACATTACAAGGTATACCATATTACGGTAATATATTATATATACCGTTGACTAATTACACCAAATCAAAAGACATCACCAAATATTAGGGAGTGATATATAAAAAAAATTAAAGTTGACTCCTACTAAGGTCAACAAAGAATATTTTTATTTTAGTGAATTAAACTTAATTAATGAATTAATATTTGAAAATACTGTATCAACATCAAATGTAATCCACTACAAGTTTAAAAAATATATTTGAAGCCAAGAAAAAATTCGTTAGAAAAACTTACAGACGCCCTTTGTTGGTACTAGTTCTAACTTCGTCAGAACTAAGGCATAATAAATTTAAAATAAAAAAAATAAAATTTTACTAATGATTTAATATTTGAAAAAAACTGTAATAACATCAAGTGTCATCCACTACAAGTTTAAAAAATGTATTTGAACTTGAGTGGATGAGTAAAAAGTATTTTATTAACGAATGAAAATTTGAACAAGATATATTTATATATGAATAAATATACATAGGGAGAAAGTGAAGTAGTAATAGGAATTGAAAAATAACGATATGGGATCATTTCTAGGTGGTACTATATGTAGCTATTAATAATACGCCAAATTTCAAAAAGTTGCAAAATTTGTTTGTTTTTTAAAATTTGGATTGATAAATTTTTATATTAAAAAATTCATTTTTAAATAGTTTTAATAAAGTGTATAAATAGGATTTCTTCTTCTTTTTGTGCCTCAACTCAAATATCGCTCAATTCTTTATATTGTATTCATCATCCATCGCAAAATTTTATCAAGTTTTTCAAGTTGTGGAAGTTTGGCTACTTATGAAGAAAAATGATTTTTAATCCTTATTCTAATTTTAAAAAACAATTTCTATTTTCTTATAACTGAAACAAAAACGGTTTAGTTTTTTTCAAATACTTCTTTGTGTTCAACGTTTTTTATTGAGCAGAACCTAGAAATAATATTAGTTTTCAAACTAACTTCACATGTACTTTCAACGTGAATTACTAAAATATTCTTGTACTATTGAAGTATGAACATCTTTAAAAAAACACACGTTTTTTTTTTTTCTTCATTTTTGGCGATACTTAAATGAAATAAAATATTTCTCAACTTTACAAATCGTTAAAAAATTCCCAAACCCCTTTTTGGCAGCCAAAGATAGATATTTAATTCATTCAAACAGTTCAAAGGTTTCGAAACTTTTACTCCTTTCAAGAACTCGTTTCCCTTTTCACAAAAAAGTTATATGTGTCTCAAATTATTAAAGGTTGTACCAAAAAAAAAAGTGCAATAAAAAATGCAAGTTAAATCAAATGGGTTAAATTTGTTTAACTTATGACTTTTTTTGAAAAAAAAATGCTTATATTTTTCGAAATGAGTTCTTTTTCTGTCTTTCATGATTAAGTACTCATTTCAGAGACGAAAGACACTTACTTAAAATTAATTTCGAGAGCTTAAAAACCAACTTTTCAACGTAACTTAAAAAAAGGCTTTTTAGAATAAAATATTCTCTAAGGACTTTCGAAGGCATATTTTTTTGCAATATGAAGTTTTTGCAAAGACATCGGTTGGAACCTTGATTTTGTAAAAGCGCACAAAGGAATAATCTTTTGATATTGTTACGTAGATCCGGGGTTCGAGAATTTTATGCAGATCGATCGCAAATAACAAGACATTTCTTTAACAGCGATGAGAATTTATTGTAGAAAATCCAATCCTTTAAATACAGGATTCAGCAGCAATATTTCCAAAATAAATCACGGAAGGTCTTCACACCTTCAACAGCCCTCAGACACAATTATCGGTGTCTAAAATGCACGTATATAAAATATTATTCACAAGCAATCACTCGTTCAAACAGCCGAAGTAATCCCTAATCTCTTCAATACTAATTGATCGCTTGTCAAAACCACACTGACTGACTTTTGACGAGCTCTTTCTCTATTTATATCCCTCGCGGATAATTCGAGAAAGACCCGCTTGCGTCATAGGTAGTGAAATTGGTAGGTTTCTCTGCTTATTTCTAAAAGAATCCAGAGGATTCCGAACTCGCCAAAAATGGTCGCCAACATGATCACCATGTCGCCAAAATGGTCGCCAAAAATGACGCCAGCTTGGCTCTATCGCCAAGATTTCGCCAAGTTTCCATTGAATCACCATTATAACGTAAGGGACGGCGTTTGCTTGTGAATATTACAATTTTAACGTAAATTAAATCTACTTTTGAGTAAGATAAAGGTATTACACATCCAATACAAATTATTTACACTATTTGACACAAAATTCAGAACAATATTTAAAGTCAGGTGAATCAGAATGTAGATACAAAATTGTTATAAGAATATTACTACAATAAAAAATTAGTT